ACCAGGTCTTTCAACACCACGTTGTACCGCTCTTCCAGGCCCAACCTCAGCTCCAGACGTTCCAGCAGGACAATGCTCGCCCTCACACTGCACGGTCTCTATGGACTTCCCCAGAGGGAACAACATTGCTGTAATGCCCTGGCCCACTCTGTCCTCGGATATGGCACCAATCGAGCATGTGTGGGATGAAATTGGTAGACGGATACAGACAGCTGCTCAACCTCAAAACCTTAGAGATTTGGAAGCCAGATTGGCCAGGGAATGGAATCAAATTCCCCAAGCCTTCTTTCAGACACTTGTTGACTCGATGAGACGTCATTGTGCTGCCTGCATTGCAGCCAATGGTGGTCACACGCGCTACTAATTGACACACTGTTTCGTGACATTTTTGGTGTGTGAGGGTGGAGTGACAACATATGCTTTTACAGTAAACTTGAGTGTTGTTTGCACCAGAGACCATGACTCATTTCTTCAACAATCACTTGTCTGTTGTTTTTTCGTAGTGTTAAGATTGTTTGTTCCACAGATTCAGAAATATTCACATTTCTAAATAAACTTGCGTTTCTTTTGCGGTTCAGTATATATAATATTAGTAATAGCTTAGAGAAAGACTCCAGTCAAAAGTTGTAAAACTCATCTCACAGACATACTATTGAAAAAGGCATAAATTACGGCTACACAATTTCACAGATAAAATATATAATCCTAGCCTAACGTATTGAGGACTCAAGCTGTTAGCAACCCTTTCAGTAATTCAGAATTATGACCAGACGATTAAATGAACTACTTTCATAAAGTAAACATGTCATCATCTATATTACAAGACTTTAAGCAAACACCAATTAAGGGCTGTAAAGACATGGCCCACAGTAAATACATCTATTGTAATCCAAGCACCTGTAATTGACACATCAGATTAGGCTCGTTAAGATCTAGCCCAGGGTAAGCATCCAAGCATCCAGTAAAAGTGCCATCGAGATTAGTGCCTGTTAAAATAGGATTAACAGGATTAAGAGTAATTGCCCTGTCTGGTCATTGAAGGACGCACCCCATTTTGTATATTCTGTATTTGATAGGCTAATGTAGGTTACACCCATTTTTGTATCTGTGAACCAATCGTAATCTTTTTATTGTTTTAATTGTAGATAAAATGTCTCTAACTGCATTTGTCTAGCAGTAGGGTTTAGACTCCCAACACAGGTCAGCTCTAGCCCTCAGCCCAGAGGGTTGTACCTACTCTCTGTGGCCATCCCATGTTACTCCGTTCTCGTAAATAGAAGTGTGATTAGCTTCTTGTGACTTCAGACTCTTTTGCTGAGATATTCCCCCAAGCAGACCAGCACGCCAGTTAGATAAGGTGCTTCACCGGAACCATCACTTGGACCCCAGACCCTTATCATAATAGATACCTGAGACGTCCTCGGTGGTGATATCTCTCAGATAGTGGTTGGCAAACACCATATCGGATCTCCAGAAACAACCCTCCATTATGGTATTCAAAGAGCAGTTGCCGTGTAGAGCAAGTGTAGATGCTAGCGCTCTAATTTCATGAGGATTAGAAGCTCTTGGAGGGTCGAGTCCTGCAGCCTTGTAGGCACGTAGTATGACAGTTCTGATCCAAATGGAGATAGTAGTACGTGAGACTTCAGTCTGCGTAGCTGTTGATAGAGGAAAAATAATCTCTTGAATTTTGCCCTCCTCTGTTTGGATCGGTGGAGATATATTTTCAGTGCTCTTACTGGGCATAGTGATAGATCCATCGTATCATGAGGTCCAAGTATAGATGAGAGAGCTGGGACGTGGAATAATCTGTCTGGTTGACCTGGCAATTGGTTCTTGGCGATAAAATCTCAGCATAGTCCCAGATGCATGATGTTATGAATATCATCAAAGCGTGTTCTCTCGTAATCCAATGTGTGAATCTCTGACATCCTGGCAGCCGTAGCTAGAATTAACCTGAACGAGGTTTTCTGAGTCAGAGATTCAACGATGTAGTTTCTAACGGTTTATAAGCCTCACTTGTGAGGTGTTGGAGCACAATATTCAGATCCCAAGCTGGAGCGTGAAACTTCCGTTTTTGATCCTCCAATCGGAATGCTCGTAGCAAGGCGAGTAACTTTGGGGTTTGGTTAACTTGACGCCCGTTCTCATAGTTATGACAGAGCTTATAGCTGCAAGATAAGTGGACAAAGTTGAGCCTTTTAGATTCTTAGTTTGTCATAGATAACATAAGTAGTCAGCCACTTGAGGATGAGTAGCATATCTGGCTGTAAATCCTTCTTTGCAGCATAACTGACAAAACTGTGCCACTTGTCATCGTATAAGTTGCGAGTTGAGTTACGCAGGGCAAGCGTGACTGCTTTTACCGCACTGGCTGAATAACCTCTCTTATTCAGACACGTCTTGATACAATCCATACGTGAAGTTTAAATATTTCTGGCTTTCCGTGCGTTTGTTTGGTGTGCGGATGTATTAACAGATTCGAGCACTCTGGAAGTTGTAGTATTAGTTGTCCGATTCCTTGAATAAGAGTTGGAAACCACGTTCTCGCTGGCCAGTAGGGCGCGACCAAAATCAGATGGAGGCTCTGCGTTTGACTGATTTTGAGTAAGACTTGTGGGATTAACGCTGGTGGTGGAAAAGCGTACGCGTTTAGTCCTTCCCATGATAAGCTTAGTGCGTCCGTTGCCCATGCTAGTGGGTCTGGAACTGGCGATACGAATGTTGTCAGTTGTTTGTTGAATCGAGTGGCAAATAGGTCTATTAGTGGAGTTCCTATTTCCTTGATAATTTGAGCGAATATCTCTGTATGGAGCATCCATTCTGTCGGCGATGGTAGGTGTGGCCGCGAGAGAGCGTCTGCTATTACATTCTTTGCTCCTGGAATGTGACATGCTCTGACATGTATGTTGAGATTGTCGATTAAATCGAACAATTGAAAACATAGAGTCAATAGGTTCGGGGACCTGGTTGAGCTTAGTTTGTTCACATAAAACGCCACTGTCGAATTGTCTGTGTGAATCATCAACTGAGCATTCTGTAGTAAGTTGGTCCAGTGCATTATGGCGTTTATCACTGCTTGCATCTCTAGCAGATTTATGTGTAATTTGCTCTCTTGATTGTTCCATAGCCCTGATGCCGTCCTGTTGCGGTGAAGCACTCCTCCTCCGTGAAGCCTTTCGCGAATGGTGGGGATCTAGGTACTTCGTGGAGGCGGACTGGGACGTCCTTCGCGAAGGCTTTGATACGGGCTGGGTTACCCTTCGTGGAGGCGCGTTTGTGGGCTCTGGGGCCCTACGCGAAGTCATAGCGGGCTCTGGGGCTGTACATGACTTAAATGGGGTGGGCTCTGGCGCCCGCAGCTCTGAGGCCTCTGTAAACCGTATCGGTCTTCCATCAGCATCATAATCTGGTTGACCAGGTCGTCTGGGACGGTCTGCGCTGATGTAGACGCTGCCCTCTCTATGGTAGTGACGGGACCCTCAGGTAGATTCTCTGCCGTCAGCGTAGGCATCTCTGGCTGCATGTTCATCTGCGCTGAGGTGACGGTAGCCGAAACTGGTCGCTTCTTATGCCGTACATCTGGAATGATAATCGGTATATCGTCATCATATAAGCACAATTCTGAAACAGGAAGAATGTCAGATGAAATTTTGTAGCCTTCGTAGGTTTCACTTTCGACGAAGCTGTAGCCCTGGGGGTGCGGAGCGTACGTTGTGACGACGTGGAAGCTCTCCTAGTCTTAGACTGTGATGACAGGATGTCCTGGGATGCAGGTCGCTTCTTGGATATAGCGGACTGCGTCCCACTCTTCTCCCCTGAAGGTAACTCAAGCGGAACACCAGACGGTAGAGGGTCGTCCGCCAACAGTTGACAGGGTATATCTGACTCTGATCTAGCAGCCATGACTGAAGACTGTTTCCGAGATCTATCTGCTGCACGTCTCAAGACGCAATATAAATATTTATCAAAGGCAGAATTAGACAATTTAATACACAAATTGCAACGTGAAACAGTAGAGCACGGCGTAGTACAACTAGGGCATATTAAATGCGGATCGGCAGCAGAGAAATGTAATTTACAAACAGTGCAGATTTTCATTAACGCAATCTACTGAGCAAACACGGCGGACCGTGAATAAAGCAGCAGAAACACGAATATATATCAATGCATGTTGTATCATACTATATAGGATATATACTGTAGGATACTAGTTACACCTCTATAGAAGATCATAAGAGGTAAACAACTAAATATAAATAAAGGATATAGTGTGTAGGGAGACACAGGCGCTCTCACGTCCTGCTCACTGGACGACGAAGGAGAGAGTGAGGCACATGACAGGAGGTGGCACCCTCGTTCCCGCGCTTTTGAGGGGACAGATAACTTGTGAGTACTGATTAGTGATTTTACATTGAAGGGAACTTCAATTGGGAGATACAAGTGTTGCACTATGTTCACAAGAAGAAGAAGACAAGCAAATAGCATGAGTCAGGACAAGGAAAAATAAAAGGCTTTCGAGTTGTGCTCCAGAAATGAAACCCACCCCTCTTTTTTTAGACTAAATCCGAATCATTTCCATGGAAACCGTGAAAAATAAAAATGCTCAAATTCTGTTAATAGCAAAAGGCACCACTTTAGGTTCTGTTTGATACATATATGAATTTTTGTTAAAAAGTATTGAAAGTTTTTTTTCAGTTATGCTCCATACAACAATGAATGACATACCATTCTAGAGATGTCCAGACGACCAAAATGTTGTATCAGATTAAATTCCGACAAAACATTATCTCAAATACATAAGGCTGCTCGAACTAATAGTTTTCAAGACTTTAAGGCATTGATGATTATAACCAGAATAGACATTAAACATCCTACAACAATTGGAATTCGGGAGACATTTTGACTTTCTAAATTTGACAGTTTATGAGAAAGAATGAAAGCTTCCATATTTGACTGTAAATGTTTTGAGCACAAGGCATTCTGAATCTCATACTCACCGGTGGAACAGCTGCTTGGCCAGCAACATCGTCAGGTTCACCATCAAAGGCATGATTGATGTACGGGTTTCCTTCATCTCCAATGCCTGTGTTTTCATAAGCTTCACCTTAAACATCAAGATAATTGTTTTAGTTCGAAATGGTACACAAAAATGAACAAACAGGGAGAATGGTTTGGGGCAAATAGAGTATGAATCAGGATAAGCATAGAATGAAATATTTGCACATGAAAAAATAAATATTTTACCTTATCCTGACTAATACTAATTACTTGAACTCCGTTGGTAGGTGGTGGGATCTAATTCGTAATCTATTTCTGTTACATCTTGATGTATGGCATACAGCCTTCTCTTTAGAGAAATGGAAGTAAATCTTACGAATTTGTGGATTTGCTTCTATTTATATTCCTGGTTTTCTAGCATGATCAATATATTAAAAATAGTTCATAAATGTAATTGAACCATATCACTTATGCTCTGAATTACACTATAATGGACTTTCAGTCATTGGATATCAGACAGTAACCTGACATCTACGAGTTTACATGATTTTGAGTGATTTTATCTTCTTGAAGGAACTGTCAATCGTAGTGCTACGACCAACCAAAAAACCAAATTGGTTGATTCCAGCGATATGATCAGTAGTAAAATCTCTGAGATAATGGTTGGTAAGGACAGTATAAATAGACTTCACTGATGGGTGTGATGGAGTAGTTGTTATGATGCTATGGCTCACTTTGTGAGGGTCATAAGCTATAGGAGGATCTAGTCCTGTGTCCGTTTAAGCTCTGAGGATCACTGCTCTCGTACAGAAAGAAATATTTGTTCTAGAGACCTCTGTAGATGTGTTGCCAGATAGTGGTTTAAAAAAACCCTTGAGGAGGTGTAGCCTTTCCATGCTGTGAAACCTTGGATCTTGCTAACTGGTCAAAACTCCTCCATTTATGATCATACAAACTTCTTCCAGATCATCTGAGTGTTAGGGAAAAAACCTTAGCTGCTCTAGCTGACCAGGCAATTCTTGATATGTTCCATATGTGAAGCTCAGAGAAGTTGTCTTGTATGATTTGGCCAGTTTGGAAGTGTCAGACTTGGTTTTTACCACTATTGTCACTAGACATACCAAAGTCAGTTTCAGGTTCTTTGTTTGCGATGTCTTCTAAAATGAATAGTGCTGGATGAATGCATATGTGTGAAGTTAATGCACGTGTTGGGCCTGGAACTGGAAATACTAAGAGTGCTATCTATTTCTTGAATCTTGCTGAGAGCAGATCTGTCAGCTGGCAACCTTGTTCTTGTAATCTGGTTCTTTCAAATAAGTTCCTCAGTAAAGATATGACTCGACCGTCCACCAAGGAAGTACCTTTTCAGACTTGGTGAAAGACAAATCTTCAAATCTGGAAATGGCCTCATTAATGTTTGAACAGCTCTTCGATGCAGTCTTCCTTTTGTTCTAAGCATACCTGCCATTGGTTGATTGATATTTGATCACTGAGACCTAACAGACCATATTTCTGAATCTTTACCCACTGATCTTCTGCAACAACCTTGGCAGATACTGTAGTGGGCATGGTATGCCCTTGAACCTGTAGTAGTCTTCAAATTTCTTCCACATGTTATCTTATAGAGACAGTGTTTAAGTACCATGTGCCGACGTAATTGCAGCAGCAATTCTTTTGGAGTACCCATTGGTAATTAAAGATTTCTGATGATGCGCCAGACATGAAGATGTAGCATCTGCAGGGACCAGTGCAGTCGATCAGAGTGTGAATAGTAATTGGGAGACAGGCTGTCTGGAAGATCAGTTGGTTTAACTGCCACTCTGTCGGGGATGATCGATCAGACCGGGACATAGAGTTGACAAAATGACATCCTTTTTTTACTCCTGGTATTAGGGCTCTGATGGGTACTAGACTACCCGGCAACGGGTCTGGTACGGCAGGACTCGAGTCCAAATTCCAAGACTCGAGTACCCAACAAGGGAGATAACTCTAAACTAAACATGACCACGAGTGCAGTCATGGATGACAAAAGGTTGAACGTATGGGCCCATTTTGACCTTGACACTTCAAAACATAAACCAAGTGTTGCCTTTGCAGCATTATGCTGAGTTACGCAAGGAGCTCAACAAGCTCAATGAGAAAACATCTTAACCTGAAACACAAGTCCGTCAGTGTGGACTATTCTTTCCTCAATCCAGTCAAATAGCAAGCCATGCTGATGCAGGGATATTTTGTGGGTTACAACCGAAAAAAGCTTGACTCAAAAACATACGAGACACTCACTGAATCCCAGTTATATCGTACCAGGTTATCTCCCAATTGACAGACACCCAGTTGACAGACACTGAACTAGAAGGTTAATAAGCATAACACCTACGGATATAATGGAACAGTCCACTGTCTAGTGAGGAGAGTAGGGTGAGTCTGAAACAGGTTACTGAGAAGTTAGATTGTATGTAAAAAGAACTTTGTTGTGATTAAATGACAAATGATTAAAAGATTTCTCTTCTCAAAATTGTTTTTTACTATCAATTACTGTTGAATGTAAAAACAGGTTTGTCACTGAGAGGTTTAATTGGGTTTATTGATAGAAAAGCCCTCTCCAATAATAGGATATGTACTACAGAAGTTAACTGAGAAAACGTTTTGTTTGAGAGATATAGACATGTACATATTTGAAAACATTGATTTTCAGTTATTGACAGACCTGCATTGCCATGTAAGATAAGATTAATACCAATCAGTGTTCTAATTTTAACAATACTTTCTAAAGATTTAACAGTTTATGTCTTTGAATAGAATACAATGACCTTCAAGGAAGTAATGAAAAACATTGTCATATCCATGGCCACATTGACATGATTTGTCATTATTTAAATATTCATTCTAAATGAATCATAATTAAGTGTACTCGTCTTATATCTTCCATATGAGTAATATTTAGGTTCACATATGTCTTTCACGTGGATATAACATTTTCATAATACTGCAGAGTCGCAATTTCTAATAGCTAAGGGAATACTATTCCACATTTTAACTGCTGATGGATTAAAATATGACGTTGAGTACCTCAGTCTTGTACATGGTTGGCTAAAATTATCAGAGTTTTTTAACTCATAGCTTGTGTTGCCTACTACAAGAAAAACTGGTGTTGGTTTATTTAGTAAGAAACGCTCCAATCATTTGAGATATCTTTTTGAGAATGTTTTCAATATGTTGATGCCAACTCCCGTTAGACAAGAAGGTTAAACTGAAATGTTTATGAAAATCAACTGTTTTTATATAGCAGGAATAAAAATTCAAATTAATGTCTTTTTGGCCATGTTTCAAAGTAAATAATATAGCATCTGTTTTTTCCTGTGTTTTTATTTGGACTATTCCATTATAATGTGTAGGTAACAGGTAGTAGCTAATATGTTCACTGAACCGTAATGTTGTTGTTTTAAGGTGTCTGCGTAATGGGAGGACACCTCGTACCATGTCCAAAGACCCTCCATAATTACCTTATAAAGGAATATGCCGACACCAAAACTCAGCTTAAGGATATTCTAAAGCAGTCCCCTGGCGTATCTTTGACAAAAGATATGTGGACCAGCTGTGCCACCTACGGTTACATCACCATCACTGGGCATTACTTCACAGACGAGTGGGATCTAAAAATCATGTATTCTTGCTACTAGACGCGTGGAGGATCGCCATATAGGTGAGAATATCGCTGATGCCTTGGTATCCATCCAAACAGACCGATGCTAGTCAAATAAGTCAATGACATTAGGTTTCTGTTCAATCATATTGATAACAACGCATTTTAAGTAAAGATTTCAAGTAAGTTTTCAATTCAATACAAACATAATAACTTATAAGTGCGGCATTTCTTGAATTCAGCTGAAAAGTACTTAAACACCAGCAGAAAGCTCTCACTAAAATTTATACTATAATTTTTGGGTACTTGAGCCTGGGTGGGGTTTTATCCCCCAGGTATTCGAGTCAGAGTTTTGCTACCCGTCAGAGCCCTACCTGGTATGTGACTTGTTTTGAGATTGCCAGGGAGTTTATTAGTTGAAAGAATTCCATTGTCCGCTCGAGCAGGTGCCATGATCCTGTTGAACCACGATGATTGATGTACCATTGAATTGTCTGAACATATGAAAAGACTGGTCGATTGTAGATCCTTTTCCCAATGTATTATGGCTAGGATGACTGCCATAACTCCAGTAGGTTAATGTGGAGGAACTGTTCATCAGGTGACCACAGTCCTGCCACTAGTTGATGGTGAAGATGAGGTCCCCCATCCTTGAAATGATGCCACTACGAATAAGTGATAAGTGGGAGTGAACGGCGTCAAGTAAACTCCCCCCAAACATTCCATTTGTTGCAGATGATGATGGAGTGACAAGGGTAAAAGGATCAGCGCATGGGGATTGTTGAGTCTCAGGAACGGATGTAGAATGGAACTCTTCTGTAAAAGTTGACTCATTGAGCCACCATAGAAAGTACTGATGAGTTGACGAAGGTGGTAGGATCTAGGGCTGTGCAATGTTACCGGTAAACCGGTATATACAAGTACAGTATCTCGCGATATGATTATCGCGATATGGTTTAGATTCTGCGATATATTGGGTCACCCAGAGTTATCCCCTTTGAATTATATGCCTTTGACTTCCGTGACAACAAAATGTCTTCTAAAAGAGCCAAATATACTTTTATTTCTATGGGTTTCATGTAACATTTTACAAGTAGAAGTGTCTTTGTAAGTAGTTCCAAAAGAGCCAAATATTCTACCACATTTTGTGTGTTTGAATGGTTTTATATGTGACATTGTGGAGGAATTAAGTGGCGTCAAATGGGCCACTGTTTTATTTGGACTTATTAGTAGAGCCTCTGGCTCTGAGTGACCATTTTACAATTCAAATTATTTCATTATTTTTGTTTGTTTCATAATGGGACACATGTTATCAACGTATCTTAAAGGTCTAAGTCTTATAAAGTTTGTAGGGCTGTATAATGACATTCTAGTCAATGATCTTAGTCACTGGAGGTCACATGAGTTTGTAAGCTGAAGTAGTTCACCTAAATCATGTTTTTGTTTCATTTTGCAATTGGAGT